ATGCAAGAAGGCCGGGCAGAGGGGAAGCCAGCTGCAGGCGCTCTGGCTTGGAATCTGGACCAGACTTTCCAAAGCTAGCCCAGCACACAGGCGTCCTGGCAGCCACCCTCCCCTGCCTACTCTGGCCCTGGCGCTCAGTCTGCTGCTCTCCCCTGGGTTCCAGCAACTGGAAGAACACCCCCAGCTCCCACCCAGGCAAGGCGCCGCAAGAGAGCACTGGGGCCAGGCCTGGGGCTCTGGACTGGCCGGAGCCCAAGACGGACAGCTCCTGCCCCGCCTGTCCTCTTTACCACAGCACACACTGTTAGTCCCCTGGAAGAGGTCCCAGCCCCAGGTCCCCACTCCATCGGCCCCACTGGCCACCTGGCTGCTCCTCCAGGGCCAGGCGCCGCCCGCTGAGGGCCTTGGTGCTCACTGCCCCTCCTCCTGGGTCCCTCCCACCCCGGATTTGTGTGCGGCCCACCTCCTCACTTCCCTTGGCCTCTGTTTCAGCATCACTCTTGACACAGTCCTCTCCTCACTCCTCTGCTCGAAGCTGTCCACCGTCCTCGTGCTCCCTCCCTCCCCTGCCCGCCTTTCAACCCCTATGTCTTTGTATTTCTTATGGTCGGACTCCCCCTGTTCTGTCATCTCACAAGGCCAGAACCACACTTGCCGAGTCACTGTGCCTTCCTGGCACAGAGTAGATGCGCAGTGAGTGGCTGAGGAAGGACTAGGCAAAGGCCTTAAGGGGCGGCCCAAGGGAAGGGGCAGGTATAGGCAGAGCTGCCCACCTGGGTCCCACGTCCAGAGGACCCTGGAAGCTTCAATCTTCTCATCCATCCAACAACCCCAGGAGTGGTCCCGTGGTCTTACCAAGCACCTCCTCACCAGGCTGCCTCGGGGAGGGGAGAGCTCAGAGAGGGGAGAGAGGGACTGCACAGGCGTGTGCCCGTGGGGAGGACTCGGGTCCAGAGTGGACAAGTGACATGTTGGGATTGGGTCCCTCTCATGTGACCAAGGACCCTGCCAGGCAAGGACAGGAGCCAGAGAGCAGATAGGGGAGGATGGGGCAGGGAGGGTCCTGGAAGGGCAGAGTCCCAGGTGAACTTCAGAGCCACTGGGGCTTCCAGACCGAGATGCAGGCGAGAGGCCCCTCAGCAAGAGTGGCCCTGCGGTTGCCGCCCAGACGCGGAAGGCTGGGAAATGAGGTGCTGACTTGCAGACGTGTTAAGCCTGTGATGTTAGGGACATCCACGGAGAGCTGGTAAGGGGGCCACGGATCGTGAGCCTGACACGGGCAGCGCAGAAGCTGGTGGTGACTAAGGGCGTGGTCAGGGCTCATGCAGGTGCTGCTTAAAGCCTGAGTCTTTTGGGCAAGCTGCACAGGTCCTGCCTCCACCCCCAGACTGCAGCTGCCTCTGGATGTTCTGGGCCCTGGCGCAGCCACCAAATCAGCAGCCATGGCTACCCTAGTGGTAGGCGTGGCAGGGGGACTGGTTCTGGAGTGGAGATGAGGTGTCACCTGTGTGCCTTTAGCATGGGGATGCTCTGTAGAGGCTCTCCACCTGCTCCCTGGTCAGCCAGGGTGCCTTGCCTCACCTCTGCTCACCTGCAGCACTGGGCCTGCCTGCACACCCTCTCCAGAGGTGAGACCCTCCTCACTGCCAGCTCCAAGGGGAACCCTGGTTGCCTGGCTCCTTTGGCCTCTGCCTCCTGTAGGTCCTGGCTTGAGAGGCTGCTCTGAGCTGCCCTGAGGCCCTAACCAGGGTCCCCTCTGCCCTCCCTCACAGCTGGGGCTGGGCCGGGGACCAAGGACAGGAACAATGCAATGTGAGTGGTCGGATTCTCTCCAAAGTGGAGGCTGCATCTTACTCCCTGTTTGGAGGCAGATTTGCATTCCTGGAGGTTAATTCTCTGGGGCACCTGGTCTTCAGTGATCCCGATGACCAGGCCTCTCTGTCCTGGTCTGCCCTCTGCCTCCTCAGAGCTTAGCATCTGAAGCCAGCCCCTGCCTGCCCTGCCTCATGGTTCATGCTCCAGCCGGAGGCACCGATGTCTGGCTTTGCTCGTCTCTGTTCCTGGTCTCTGTCCCCTTCCCCAACCATCCACCTGCTAAGAGGTCACTCATGGTGACACTTTGTGCACCTGCTTCCTCCCATGGGCTGCAGTGGGAGGTGGTTCCCTGAATCATCTCGGGGGGCCCAGGGTTCTGGCGCAGGGGCTGCCAAACCAGGCATCAGGGAGCACGTGTGTCCAGCCTTGAGGTAGTGAGCACACAGTCAGGGCCTCGGCTCGGCCATGCCAACACTGAGCCTCTTTCACATGGAGCCCTGTTCCAGAGTGAGGTGACCTCCTGGGGTGCTAATGGTGGCTGAACCCGGCCGGCCACTTCCATGACAGCCTCTGTGGCAGGGCAGATTTCAGGATCTCTGGGGTTCAAGTCCACCCCCGAGAGCTGGGCTGCACTGAGGATGGGTGGAGTCACAGAGCGAGGGTGGCCCTGGGCCAGGCGTGGTGAGGGTCAGCCAACCCTGGCGGCTGAAGGGCTGGGGTGCTGGGCTCCCTCCTTTTTCTCATCCTGTCAGACTTCTCCTGCCACTTCTCCAGCAGATGCCCCCCTAGTTTTACAGAAGGGGGAACTGAGACCCTGCTGGCTAAATACCCTCCCATAGCCTCGCCTGCATCTGACCGCCCACCCCTCCCCTGGCTTTGCCCCTTCCTCTCCAGTGGTCCTGCCTTGGTCCTGTCTCTTCCCAGTGGACATGGGCACCCCCCAGCCACTTGATTCTGGCCTTTCCCACCTACACCGCCCACCTAGTTAGCGTCTCTGCCCCCCAGTGTGCTGCTGATGGGTAGCTCTGGGACAGATGGACAGTGACATGGCCCAAGTTCTCTCCAGCTGCAACTCTGGGCATCCCCATAGCCTGGGGCTGCCTCCTCAGGGACCTTGGCCTCAGAATAACCCAAATCCAGCGGCTGGAAACCCCCTACTCTGCCTGTCCAGAGCAGCCCCCCATCCTGCCTGTCCAGAGCAGCCCCCCTCCCTGCCTGTCCGGAGCAGCCCCCTGCCCTGCCCATCCGGACAGCTGGTCCAGCCCTTCCTATTGCTGCCCCGCTGGACTCTGGCCCTTTGTGTCCAGTTTAGCACAGAGGTGCAGACCTTGGCTTCCTCCCGGACAAGGTCCGCCTCTGCTGGCCTGGCCTTCTGCCCGTCCCCCCAGCCCCTGCAGCCCTCAGCCAGATACTGTCCTTTTCCTGCTCACAGCTTCCTAGGCCCTGGGACCGGGGTCCCAGCCCCACTCCCTGTGGGGATGCACCTCCCCTCCCTCTCCTCATATGCCCGAAGCTTTCCACCCCTTCCCTGGAAGGCTGCAGGCCCTTACAAGCTTGGTGGCCTTGCCCCCTCTCCCTAGACACCTTCACTCTATCTCCACCACTTACGTCACCCCTGAGGGTTTTCTCCTGGAAACCATTTCCTCCCAGAAAGCCCCTTCCCCTGCAAGACCTGACAGGTCCCCTTCCCCCTAGGCCCCTGCACTTTAAACCAGATAATCTGGGTCTAAAGCTGGACTTGTACCACCCCACCTCCCTCTATGGCTGTGGGGAAGGGCCTCGGTTGGGAGCATTCCCTGGGAGACAAAGTTTAAAATACCTTGTTTTCTGGGCCTCCCAGTATTGGAACAAGACCTCTGGGCCATAGGAGTCCAGCCCTGATACAAGGGCTGTGTCACTGCATGGAAGTGCCTGAAAAATGTCCTGGAGGCTCTTTTGAAACAAGGGCACCCTTCTGCCAGATGTTTGGGGCAAGGAAGGGGACGGAGGATGGGGTCATCCCATGCCCTGCCCCTCCCTGCCTCCTAACCTGAGTCAGACCCTGGAGGCAGGGATGGGGTCAGAGACGGATGCTGCCTCCTCGCTCAGGATCAGGATCAGTGGGTTGGGAGGCAAACCTCCTCCAGTGGGGCCACCAGGTGTCACTGTGCAGGACACACACAGGGAACAGACACTTACATTTACTGAGCACCTGTTGTGTGCGGTGCAAAGATGGTGTGCCCACACCCGTAGCCAACTCCTGCCTTCTTCTCCCGCGGACCGGGGGTGGGGAAAGGAGGGAGCTCCCCAAACCCTGAGCCAATCCTTGAACCCCGAGTGCTGCAAGCTGTGCCCAGGGCCTGGAGGCGGCCAAA